ACTCAACCTTTTTAAATAAGATACCAAAATAAGAACAAAAATGCAGTGTTACAAATAACAATCAAAAATTTAAAAATATTTGTCATGAATATAGATTTACAATAATTAATCAATAATAGACTGTAAGTGTAGTATTCTTTTTAATAAATAATTAATCGTAATTACATTGTTTAAGTTTATTTACAAGAACATGAGAGTGCAGTCGATATTTATGCAATCTTTATTATCAGGTTTTTGAATTTCCCGCTGTGTTGTTTGATATCGATGAAAGCGCCACATAGTGGGTCAGATGTTAACTGCGATAAAGCTGGTCGTTGTTTAGCATTGGCTTCTTATGGGCGTTTCCTTATCTCTGGCCTAATTGTGTATTGATTGGTTAGTTCTATGAATTCCTAATAGATGACGGTGTAAGGTGAAGACTTTCGCCTTTTTACTTTCCTATCTGTATACAGATATAAGGAAAGTATAGGAATCATGATTTTTTTCGACCTCGAGTTTTCGACGGATTTTTACGTTTTGAGGTCCCCTGAATCCGTTTTGACTATTTTCGCGATGATGTCTGTGTGTGTGTGTGTGTGTGTGTGTGTGTGTGTGTGTGTGTGTGTGTGTGTGTGTGTGTGTGTGTGTGTGTGTGTGTGTGTGTGTCTGTGTGTGTGTGTGTGTGTGTGTGTGTGTGTGTGTGTGTGTGTGTGTGTGTGTGTGTGTGTGTGTGTGTGTGTGTGTGTGTGTGTGTGTGTGTGTGTGTGTGTGTGTGTCTGTATAACGCATAACTCATGAATCGATACACGGAAAAACACCAAATTTCAAACTTAAGCTTTATTCCAGCGTCTAATGAGCTGATTAGATTTTGGGCAGAGTCGGAACATCTGGGGGGGTACTTTATAGGTGGTCATTTTTATATTTTATGGAATATATCTGTTATTTACGTTTGGGGAAGAAAATTTTTTAAATAAAAGTTACTTCTTATTTTATTATCTATAATTTTTGTCATTTACAAAATTTTCCTAAAATGGTCCGTATTCGAGAAATTTGACAAAATGTAAAAAAATATTTTTTTTTATAATAATTGTTCAAACAAAAGTTGTTTGTAATACAATTCTCTATAATTTTTGTCCCATAGATAATTTCTCTAAAATGGACCGTATTCGAGATATTTGAGAAAATGTGTAAATTTCGAAATTTGAAGAAAACTCAAAAACGGATAAAGAAAAAATCAATAAATTTTAAACTTAAGTTTTATTTCAGCCTGACGTGAAATGATTATATTTTGGACAAAGTCGGAACATCTGGGGGGGGTACTTTATGGGAGGCCGTTTATATATTTTATGGAATATATCTGTTATTTATGTTTGGAGAAGAAAATTGTTTAAATAAAAGTTACTTCTAATATTATTATCTATAATTTTTGCCTTATGTAAAAATTTCCTGAAATGGTCCGTATTCGAGAAATTTGACAAAATGTGCAAAATTCTGATTTTTATGAAAATTGTTGATATAAAAGTTGTTTGCGATATCGATCTCTATAATATTTGTTCATACATGATTTTTTTTTAAATGGACCGTAATGGAAAAATTGTAAGAAAAGTGCTAAATTTAAATTTTTCAGTATTTTCATTTTCAATGAATATCTATAGAAAAATGTTTCGCGGTAGATGTATGTGGACAATGTATATATATTTAGTTTATCCTCTAAACATTTATAGAGATGCTGCAATAGGTTGTACACAATAAACGGAAAAAGCCTGTAATAACTAGATAGGAAAGTCATGTGTTGGACACATCAGATTTTTACTTTCCTATCTGTATACAGATATAAGGAAAATATAGGAATCATGATTTTTTTCGACCTCGAGTTTTCGACGGATTTTTACGTTTTGAGGTCCCCTGAATCCGTTTTGACTATTTTCGCGATGATGTCTGTCTGTCTGTGTGTGTGTGTGTCTGTGTGTGTGTGTGTGTGTGTGTGTGTGTGTGTGTGTGTGTGTGTGTGTGTGTGTGTGTGTGTGTGTGTCTGTATAACGCATAACTCATGAACCGATACACAAAAAAACACCAAATTTTAAACTTAAGCTTTGTTTTAGCGTCCAATGAGCTGATTAGATTTTGGGCAGAGTCGGAACATCTGGGGGGGTACTTTATAGGTGGTCATTTTTATATTTTATGGAATATATCTGTTATTTACGTTTGGAAAAGAAAATTTTTCAAATAAAAGTTACTTCTAATATAATTATCTATAATTTTTTTTTTGCAAAATTTTCCTAAAATGGTCCATATTCGAGAAATTTGACAAAATGTAAAAAAAAATCATTTTTTATAAAAATTGTTCAAATAAAAGTTGTTTGTAATATAATTCTCTTTAATTTTTATATTATACATAATTTCTCTAAAATGGACCGTATTCGAGATATTTGAGAAAATGTGTAAATTTCGAATTTTGAAGAAAACTCAAAAACGGATAAAGAAAAAAACATTAAATTTTAAACTTAAGGTTTATTTCGGCCTGACGTGATATGATTAGATTTTGGACATAGTCGGAACATCTGGGGGGGTACTTTATGGGACGCCACTTTTATATTTTATGGAATATATCTGTTATTAATGTTTGGAGAAAAAAATTGTTTAAATAAAAGTTACTTCTAATATTATTATCTATAATTTTTGTATTATGTAAAAATTTCCTGAAATGGTCCGTATTCGAGAAATTTGACAAAATGTGCAAAATTCTGATTTTTATGAAAGTTTTTGAAATAAAAGTTGTTTGCGATATCGATCTCTGTAATTTTTGTTTATACATGATTTTTATAAAATGGACCGTAATGAAAAAATTGTAGGAAATTTAAATTTTTCAGTATTTTCGTTTTTCATGAATATCTATAGAAAAATGTTTCGAGATAGATGTATGTGGACAATGTATATATATATTTAGTTTATCCTCTAAACATTTATAGAGATGTTGCAATAGGTTGTACAAAATAACCGGAAAAAGCCTATAATAACTAGATAGGAAAGTCATGTGTTGGACACATCAGATTTTTAAATATAAGAACTTGAAAATTGGAATTGCAGCTACTCATAAAAAAATGTAAATAATGACGTATTTCAAGGTTTTGGATTTTCGCATTTAAAGGAGGGGGGCATGGGAAGTATCATAAAAACCCTGCTACTACATAAATGCGAAAGTTTGGAGAAAGGGGGAAAGTGGGAAAGTAAAAAATAGGGAGAAGGGGCAAGGGGGAAGAGGGATGAAAGTATGGATTTTTTAAAGGTGGGAACATGAAAGTTGGAATTGTAGCTACTCATATAATGACGTATTTAAAAGTTTGGATTTTTACATTTTAAGGAGGGGGGAATAAATAAAAATAAACAAATAAAAAATAAAAATAAATAAAAAATTAAATAAATATAAATAATAAAATAAAATTAATAAAAAATAATAAAAAATAATAAAAAATAATAAAAAATAATAAAAAATAATAAAAAATAATAAAAAATAATAAAAAATAATAAAAAATAATAAAAATTAATAAAAAATAATAAAAATCAATAAAAATTAATAAAAATTAATAAAAATTAATAAAAATTAATAAAAATTAATAAAAATTAATAAAAATTAATAAAAATTAATAAAAATTAATAAAAATTAATAAAAATTAATAAAAATTAATAAAAATTAATAAAAATTAATAAAAATTAATAAAAATTAATAAAAAATAATAAAAATTAATAAAAAATAATAAAAATCAATAAAAATTAATAAAAATTAATAAAAATTAATAAAAATTAATAAAAATTAATAAAAATTAATAAAAATTAATAAAAATTAATAAAAATTAATAAAAATTAATAAAAATTAATAAAAATTAATAAAAATTAATAAAAATTAATAAAAATTAATAAAAATTAATAAAAAATTAATAAAAATTAATAAAAATTAATAAAAATAATAAAAATTAATAAAAAATAATAAAAATTAATAAAAAATAATAAAAAATAATAAAAAATAATAAAAAATAATAAAAAATAATAAAAAATAATAAAAAATAATAAAAAATAAAAAAAATAATAAAAAATAATAAAAAATAATAAAAAATAATAAAAAATAATAAAAAATAATAAAAAATAATAAAAAATAATAAAAAATAATAAAAAATAATAAAAAATAATAAAAAATAATAAAAAATAATAAAAAATAATAAAAAATAATAAAAAATAATAAAAAATAATAAAAAATAATAAAAAATAATAAAAAATAATAAAAAATAATAAAAAATAATAAAAAATAATAAAAAATAATAAAAAATAATAAAAAATAATAAAAAATAATAAAAAATAATAAAAAATAATAAAAAATAATAAAAAATAATAAAAAATAATAAAAAATAATAAAAAATAATAAAAAATAATAAAAAATAATAAAAAAATAATAAAAATCAATAAAAATTAATAAATTATTCACTTTTATTAATTGAGATTTGAGAAATTCCAGCGAAGCGGGATCGGGTCAGCTAGTATTTCTTATAAATTTACCTATCCAACAATACCAATATGTTAGTCAATAACACATATACAGGGTGTCCCATCAGTGCGTAATTGATCGATAGCTGTTTTAGTATTGGAAATACAGAGACATTTGATATAAAAGTTGTATGACTATATTTAGCAATTATTTTTATATATACAGGGTGGTCCATAAACGAGGTGTAGACCAAACATACTTTGACATATTTGATTATTTTCACATCGTTAAACAATTATTTTAATTGACTTTATTCATTTGCTATATTATATATAGGGTATGCCAAAATGTGCGGTTATGATTTTCTTAATTTTTAAATGGAATAGGTGGTATAACATACATATTTGATCTTAGATAAGGTGGTTTTTGATTGAATAACGAAACATTTCAGGTTTTTATTATTTTCATTGAGTAATTTGACAACATTTGAGTTATTGGTATGTCGTCGAATAAAAAATAATCTTGTATTTTTTTTTTATTTTAGGTGTAACTGCCCAAAACCATATCAAACAATTAATTCATCACCAAAATGTATTTGTGATTGTGACATAATCGATGAAGACTGTATTCAATTAAAAAAAGGAAAAGAGCATTTTAGTATGAATAACAGAATGTAAGTATAATCGGGTCATTTCATATCAAATCAACCAAAATAAAAAGCGGTATAGCAGACCATCTCACCGATTTTGATAAAATTTGGTACACCAGTTCTCTATATGGGTGGGATGAAAAATCAAAAATATATATTTTTTCCGATCAGTGGTTTTTTTAATTTATTTTCAAAAATCGAAAAATTGACCAATTTTGACCCAACACAACTTCACAAAAATTAGAATATCTTGAGAACGACTTATCGTAAATCAACAATAATTTCTCCATCTTGAAATTTGCGAAAGCATTGATAAAAAAATATTTTTTTCTCAAAAATTCAAAAATTACTTTTTTGAAAACAATCAAAAAATAAATAAATAAAATAAAATAGGTCATGTGACACATCGTTAGAAAGGTATTTAAATTACCTTTACAGCGAGCTATATCTCATCGATCTACAAAAAGTGTTCCTCACGATATTCTCATTTTTGTGAAGCTGTGTTGGACCAAAATTGGTTAATTTTTGGAATTTTGAAATTTAATAAAAAAAAACTACTGATCAGAAAACAATTTTAATCACACCCATATAGAGAATCAGTATACTAAATTTTATCAAAATCAGAATTTTTATTATCTGAATAAAATTAGCAAATAAAAACTTAAACCATATTTAAGCCAAAATTGTTGAGCAATATTTCTAAAACTGATAGAACTTCCAAAAATAAATTAATGGCGGTTTTTAATAAATACATTACTTTTCTTCTTCTTCTCCTTTTTTTATATTTAAATTTTTATTTTTGTCAATTCACTAAACATCTTTTAAGACATTTTTTTTTGTTATCAAGTGTTTTTTGGGGAAAATACATATTAATGTTTAAAAGATAAAAGGCAATAAACGACAAATTTCGCAAAATTGAATTTTAATAGGCTACAAACAAGATTCTTCTTCTGGATCGAATGTACTGTTTTTTGTCTTCCTACAAACGGAGAAATTTGAGAAAATACTCTGCGAAAGAATGCAAATATTTAAATTTCACATCGATATTTAATAATTATGATTCTAATAAAAAATATTCTTAATCTAATATGTTATTTACCCAGATTCTAATTACTTTTTCTTTTGTATTATGTTCCAGATGTATCCAAGATAACCAATGTGGTGTTCCCACGTGCGAATATGGTACCTACATAATGGGTGAAGGCAAATGTCCTACGAAACAAGAGAAATTGGAAGAATTTCGTAAAATGCGAATCAATATCTGATACAACAACTATAATTATCTTAATTTTTACCAGTGCCAATTTATTTATCTTAAATAATTAAAATGTAATTAAGTATAATATCTGTGATCATTTAGGATTAGAGAAATTAATGATTAAATTTAAATACCTACCACCAATGTTAATATATTATAAATATTATTTGTATTAGAGAAAATAATGAGTGGAATTTATTATATTTAATACAATTCATTTAAAAATGGAAATATTGACTTTTTATTTTGGATTTTTGATAAAATTAATCTATCTGTTACTTGGTTTGTGAGAAATTTATTTTTAATTATATTCCTTGATGGGCTTCTTCAAAATTAGGTACTTCTGTATTCAATTTAAGTAGTACTGGTGCCTTGCATTTATCCAATATGATACAAAGAATGTGTCTACTATTTTTCTAGCATATACAAAACGATATCCCAGCTAAAACTTGTCACCCCCTAATCTCCGAACTCGCGAAAAAAATTGAAAATCGTTCAGACTCGTCGATTTTAATTTCACCAAATATATCATCATTGTGTTGTCAACCCCCTCATCCCCAGCACCCCCTACTTCAAAATTTTCAATGGGACTACTTACGTGTGATACATCATTTTAAAGGGAATTTAATCCCAAATACATCGGTGTACTGAAATTGAGGATCGATCAAGTGTTGTTGAAGTTTTAATGAAAACTAAGTTTTATCAAGATATTTTTATTTTTCATCACCTAAAATGTTATCATCATATGAAAGGTTCAAAATGTGAACCATTCAGTTCCATACAGAAGTATAAGCGATTTTCGAAATGTCTTCGCACATTTCTCAACATTTCTGGAGTCACTGCACGACACTCTACAACAATTCTCCTGCGTAGATCATCAAGAGAATTTGGCTGTGTAATATAAATTTTGGATTTCAAATGACCCCATAAAAAAAGTCTAATGGTGATAAATCAGGAGATCTAGCCGGCCATTCTTTTGGTTCTCGCCTTCCAATCCATCTCCCTGTGAAATTGTCATCTAAAAATTGACGTACAGGTGCAATAAAATGTGGAGGAGCTCCATCTTGTTGAAAGATGAGCTGACCTTCAAGTAGACCATCATCGTTTTCAAGTAATTCAGTGATTCTGGGGTTCACAGCTGTATCAAGAAGATCAAGATACTTTTGTCCGTTGAGGTTACCATCAATAAAATATGGACCTACAATATGATCTCCCAGCCCAAACATTCAATTTCTGGGGAATTTGTGAATGAGTTTCCCTGTACCAATGGGGATTTACGTCACTCCAGTATCTGCAGTTGTTATTAAAGTGTTGAATCTTCTCGTAGGTTTTGCAGTTAATAAATAAAAATGGATTGAAAATGATTGACAGTATTTATTTTATATTTGATACATCTATATAAAAACTGACTTAACAAACTTAACTCAAATGTAGTACATAGTAAACATATAAAAGAAAAAGCTAGTAACATTATAAGCTTCAACACTTTCCCCTGTTAAAAGCTTTTTTTTTTAAGTAAGTCCCATTTCACCACAAAATTTTACCAATTTAATTTTTGGTAAAGCTTTAGTCATAACATCCGCAACTTGGTGCTCTGTAGGTATTTGCTGAATAGCTAGTTTTCCTTCCATAATTTTCTCCCTTATAAAGAAATGCTTTGTGTTTATATGATTGGTCTTCCGATGAAATTCTGGATTCTGTGCTAACTTAACTGCAGCTGAATTATCTACTTGCAAGACAGGTACATGTGCAAGTTGCGTTTGAGATTTAAAAAGTCTACTTAACCATATAATTTCTTTTGTAGCTTCATTTGCTGCAACTATTTCTGCTTCAGTTGTAGATGTAGCAACCATACTTTGTCGTTGACTGAACCATGAGATTATTCCACCAGCGTAAATTATAACTATTCCCGAGATTGAGCGTTCAGTTTTATTACAACCTCCGAAGTCGGCATCGCTGTAACATTCTATTTCTTTAGGTAATCCTGGACGATAAGTAATACCTAAATGAGTAGTTCCAGCTAGGTATCTAAAAACTCTTTTTAATCTAACAACATCTATGGAAGAATAATTTTCAAGACTTCTTGACAAAAAACCAACACTATATACAAGATCTGGTCGGGTGCCAACCATTAGATACATTAGTGCTCCTACTGCTTGTCAGTATGGGTAATGAGAATTTGATTTTTCTATTTCTTTTCCCGATTTTAAAGTTGTAGAAACCTTTTCCATTGGTGTAGCTACTGGCCTGCAATTAGAAAAATTGAAACGATCCAAAACTTTTCTTGCATATGATGTTTGACCGATTTTAATTTGTCCTTCTGTATGCCTCTCTATCTCTAAACCTAAATAATATGTAGCTGTTTTTGAGGTAATTTTAAAATCTTCCTTTAGTTACTCAATAAAATATTCCAATTCTTCTTGTCTAGTACCTGCTAGTAAGCCATCATCAACATACAATACTAGAAAAACTTTATTATTGTTACGTTCTTATACAGGGTGTCCTTTAAAATGTGTCCCAAAATTCTCAGGCAGATTCCTTAACCAAAAAATGGAAAAAAAGTTCCTATAGACCTATGTCCTAAGCGAGCAACAGCCTCTCGAAATCATTTTTTTTATTTTGATTTTTTGAATTTTCTTAAAAATGGAAACAAATAAAAGAACCAAATTTTGGCTGTTAAATATGATCAATAATAGTGACCTTTTGACACCTTCAAAAAGAAATTATTTCGTCAGGGGTGTACTTGGGAATGTTTTGAAAATTTTGATTATTCATAACTTTTTTGTGTTTTTGGTAATGACTTATCCATATTTTTTTTTACATTCTACATTGAAAACTACGTCAAAAAAAAATACTTGTTTGATCTCGATTGGAGCAGCCGTTTCCGAGAAAACATCATCCAAAGATATTCGTCCACTTTAGCTTAATTTTCAATTTTCCTAAATTACCTCGGTGAATCTCGTAAATAAAAATAACTTTTTTAGCTCTCTCTAAATAATTGTAGTTCAAATGTCGTAGTGGGACTATTTTTATTTAATAATAAGAAACGGTTTAAAAAAATATTTATTCTAAAAAAACAAATAAAAAAAAATTAAAGCAGATGCTCAATGTGGCGACCATTGGTTTCCACACACAAGCGCAACCGTCGCATCATAGACTGTCTTACACGAAAAAATACTTCAGGATTATTCCTAAGAACTTCGCAATGATGAAAAACTCGTTCTTCCAATTCTTCAACTGTTTCAACAGGACTGGAATAAACCAATGATTTTAAATAACCCCAAACAAAAAAATCCATTGGATTTAGATCTGGTGAACGAGGTGGCCAGTTAACAGGACAACCTCTGCCAATTACTCTACCCTCAAATCTTTCGTTAAGGTGCTGTCTAGCTTCAAGGCTGTAATGTGGTGGAGCTCCATCATGCATAAACCACATGTTATGTCTGATTTGAATCGGAATATTATCAAGAAGCTCATGTAAGTTATTTTCCAAAAAAAAGCCTGTATGCTGCTCCATTTAACCTATTCGGCAAAACAAATGGTCCAATAAGGTAATTATCAATAACTCCAGCCCAGACGTTTATTGAAAATTTATCCTGGTGGTGACGTTCAACAACCGCGTGAGGGTTATCTTCAGCCCATTCATGCATATTTCGAAAATTTATTATACCATCTCTAGTGAAACCAGCTTCATCGGTAAATAGCACTTTATTAAGAAACATTGCATCTTGATTACATCTTCCAAGAAACCATTCAGAAAAGATAACTCGCGGCTCATAATCAGTAGCTTTAAGTGCCTCAACTTTTTGAATGTGGTAAGGGTACAATTGTTGTTCACGCAAAACTTTCCATACCGTGTTACGTCCGACTCCCACTTCTGAAATTAAATGAGAGAATCTGTGTAGTGAATAGTTAAGAAAGAGAATCCATTGATTTGGGAAATCAGATTTTTTCTGCATAACGCAACTCTTTTCGATACGAAAAGTCGTGAAATGTAAGAGAAGCAATAACAAGTAAAAAAACTAGTTTTATACGATAAAGTACGGGGTAGCTAAAATAATAAATAAGTAATTACTTACCATTTGCTATTTTTCTGGTACTTGTCGATGGGGTTTCAGCTACCCTATCCAAAATTGCTTCTTCCAAAGCAGGAGTTCTCACATAATTTTGTCTTCCACTGTTACTAGAGTTTTTCTTAAATGTACCAGTTTCCCGAAGTCTATCGTCAATTCTAGAAAACGTCTTAGCGCATGGAAGATGCCTATTTGGAAAGCGCTCCTGATAAAGTCTGCGAGCTTCATTGGCATTTCCAGAAGCGAGTCCAAAACATAAGTGCATGTCCGTCATTTCGCCGAATGTGTAATCATTATTGTAGTTATTGTGAGCCATTTTAAACAAAATAATAACAATACAACGAATCGCACCAGAACACTTTTAGAAATAATGTTTAACTGAAGAAACATTTTTATCAGTGAGCGAAAAAAATTATCCATGAAACACAAAAACGCCAAAAAAATACATATTTTTACTTTTTTATTCTAAACAGCTAAATACAAACCTTATGGTCTTCATAATAAATAAATGGGAACTAAATTTTTAAATTTTATTTAGAGAGCTAAAAATAGTATACAGGGTGATTGATTAGTGTGAGGAAGCTCTGTAGATCTGTTATAATAAAAGTAGGCAGCTTTAAGCTTCACATTTTAAAATTAGTTACGATGTGACAGGGTGTTTCATAAGGCCGTGCCAAATCAAAGTTATGTTTTTTAAATGGAACACCCTGTATATTTTTATATTTTTAGAATCTGCTCGATAATCTGATTTCAATGATATATCACACTTGTTATCTAATATGAATAGTAAAGGATCTACAGCTACTCAAAAATCACATTTTTTCAAATTCAGGTGGCTGTTGTAGCCAAACAGTTGGAAATCGAGGAAAACGGCTTACAGTCCCTATCCTAACTTTTTAAGGTCTATTCAGTGACATAAAATACATATTATTTGATACAGGGTGATCAAAAATCCAAAATCACATCCGATTTTTGATCACCCTGTATCAACTAATATTTTTTGCCACTGAATAGACCTTCAAAAGTAAGGATAGGGACATGTAAGCCGTGTTCCTCGATTTCCAACTTTTTGGCTACAACAGCCAAAATTGAAAATTAACCTAAACTGCACGAATATCTT